CTCTGATAAGGTCAAGCCAATTTTCTTTGTCAGTCAAGATGGGAAACAATAAAAAAATCTCTCTAAAGCTCCTGGCAAAAGAGGTGGCCTTAGTGAGCATTCTGACCAGATCACCAGATCAAATGGCTGGTGTGCAAGGGGGGAGTTGAGTGTGGGCGTCAATGCTGCTGGGGAAATGTTTTTTGAATTCCAAGAGTTTAAGTCAGAGAAGACACGGCCACATCAAATATGCAAAACCAGTGAAACTCATTTCTCCTGGAAACCTGCAGCCTTTGGCATCTGATACTGGGCAGGAGTCCATTGAAGACAACCTGGCAGATACATTGCTCTAACGCATCAGGGGAACAAAAGCTGAGTAGAGCTCAGGGTGGTAAAGGTTTATAAAATCATCGTCCTCTTTAAAGGCAAGGTTGTGTCAAATGTGCCTCTTCACTATTTAAACCAAAAACCAAAAGAGTCCCAAATAAACCAAAAACATTTTTTTTTTTTTTTTGAGACCGGGTCTTGCTCTATCGCCCAGGCTGGAGTGCAGTGGCACAAGCTCACTGAGGCCTTGACCTCCTGGGCTCAAGCAAATCCTCCCACCTCAGCCTCTGGAGTAACTGGGACCACAGGTACATACTACCACACCTGGCTAATTTTTTTAATGTTTTGTAGAGACAGGGTCTCACTAGATTGTCCATACTGCTCTTGAACTCCCAGGCTCAAGTGATCCTCCCACCTTGGCCTCCCAAAGTGTTGGGATTAGAGGGTGAACCACCACTCCTGGCCCAAAAACATTTTTAAAGACCGATTTAATGAAAATTCTGTGGTTAGTATAGCGAATAAAAAGACTGACTTGGCTTTGACTTCCAGCTGTACTACTAAAAACCCATGAGAGTGTGACAACCTCAGCAAGCCTTAAGTTCTTCATCCATAAAACGGGGATAAAAGTAACACCTACCACATAGGATTGTTATGAAAAGTAAGAGGTAGCAAGTAGCATATTTAGCACAGTGCCTGCCATATAATAAATGCTCAAGAAACACTTCATAAATCGGAGACATTCCAAACAACTGTGTTTATAGTATGTGGAACTTTTAGATGACAACAAATGTGTTTTGAAATACTGGATGTAATCATAAACTTGAATTCAGTCTATTTTGATTAGTTTGGTTTAAACCACAATTTTCAATTATCTGTAACAGCTTTCCTTCATTATTCCAACTAAAACAAACAAACAAAAACTCCCATAGAAAGTTTTGGTTTGTTTGTTTTTGTTTGTTTGAGACAGTTTCACTCTGTTGCCCAGGCTGGAGTACAGTGGCACCATCTTGGCTCACTGCAACCTCCACCTTCCGGGTTCAAGGGATTCTCCTGCCTCAGCCTCCCAGGTAGCTGGGATTACAGGCACCCACCACCACACACAGCTAATTTTTGTATTTTTACTAGAGATTAATATAAAAAGGGGGCTTATAAAAATTCTTTTACTTTTATTTTGAAAGACATAAGCATCAATTCTTTAATTGTGAGACCAGAACAGCAAGGTTTTTAAAAGTCCGTATAAATACAGTGTTATACAAATGTTTGGTATGACCCTACATGTGATGATGTAATGCTAATTATTCTGTTGGTTGAAATGGCTAGTGGTCACTGAGTCTCAGAGGGTACATTTGTTGACTAGCATGAGAAAAAAGCCTGTCCCTTAGGAAGCCCAGCATTTAGAATACGAATTTTTTAAAAATCAGAAGTAGTACAGAGAGGTAGAAATTAAATCATAGCTGAACTTCCTAAATCAAGCTAACCTATCGCCCCACTGTAGGACCTTTGGTTTCTCTATTTTAGGACCAGTGGGGCCCCAAATACAGTTCTGATTCTGGTTCTTCCACTCATAGGGTAGGAAAACTGTCCCCTTTTCCATCCCCGAGCCAGGCTCTCCCCTACTTGCCCACCAGGGAACACTGACCATGACCTCAGTTTGAAGATTAAAAATGTAGCTGGGATTACAGGCACCCACCACCACACCC